GTGCAGTGTTGGGGTGCCTCAAGGACCAGGGTTGGGAACCACAGGCTTAAGTTATGCTTACAACCCTGTAAGCCATTCTCGAAAGTTAATTCACTTGATACAGTTTGGTGTTTTATTATTGCAAATGAATAAATAAATACAATGTTCTACACTATATTGAGAAATGTCTAACATTTTTGGAAAAACATTTGTGAACCAGATATAAAATAAATGTAAATTATAAAGTAGTGTTTCGTCTGACCTGACATTGACAACCAATATGAAAGTTTCCCAAAACTCCCTTTACTGAACATTTTGTAGAAGATTTTTATTATTCAAAATATGAATTAATCAAGTATAATCAATGTGAATATAGCCATGTTTGTAATTGACTATTATGATCATGTTTCCTGTGTGTAAGGAGGCCTGTAAGAGAGTAAAATGTGTACATTGTATGGGGGTAGAAGGACTGTGTATGAAACGTGTTGAACACGCCTCGAGTAAAAACTGTATAAAGAGTGTGCAGACACAGACTCTAGAGATTCTCTGCAGAGTCTGTAAGCTTCATTATCTCTGATAATAAAGTCTATCTTCTGGCATCAAAACCTCAAGACTTGAGTGATTTCTCACAGAAGCCACCATGATTTGTTGAAAACAATAAAGAACATTTTGTACCCATTTAATAGTTTATCATCTGTTTATCTAAATGTGATGAAGTGCTTGAGTCTTTATAACATGAATGTTCTTCAGCATCATGAATGAATGAGAAATCAAGAATAAACACCAACCTGTTTGTTCTTCAGTGTGTTTGATTCTGCAGAGTTCTGGATCTCTCATCTTCTCTCTGTCCTCTTTAATAAACTCAGTCTTTGCAGATTTCAGCTCTTCCTGATGATTTGATGCTCGTCTTCACTTGTAAACTGATGGGAGTATTCCAGCATTTATAGCTGAATTACTGTGTGGGAGGAGGAACATATCTGTCGAAATAAACCATATATCAGTTACTGAGTTTGTTCTTATATGCTCTTTGAGAAAGAAAAAAAGAAAGGGAAAATTGCATCTTTAGGAGTACAACAGCTGGAACTGTATCAAGCAGACAACTTTGTACTTAAAGGGTGCGTGCTAGTACCATAAAAGTACATATTACTGCCTTAAGGGTACACATTACTACTCTAACATACTAATAGGCACCCTAGATTGCCCCAGTGACAAGCTGTTGTACCCCTAAAGGTACATTTTTTTCTGACACATCTAAGCATTTATGTCTGCCTATCTATTGTAAAGTAAGTGATGCTAATTCACAAATTATGTTTGCTAACCCTAACATTATTCTGCTTCATTAAAATACAGCCAGATTTGTAAAAAAAAAATAGAAATATGAAATAATATAATGTAATACAAATAATGTAAATCCTTCAAAATATAAATGGTAGGAAAAACAGCTGAAAGAATAAACAGACATAAATGTACAGATTTGTAACAACAAATACCCTCAGTCTGTTGACACCACCCTGTTGAAAAAACACTACAGCTAAATATCTACATAATATGTCCAAATTAATCTAAATATAGTTTGTTTTCAAGTAAGTACATTTATTGCCATAAAGTAACTTAATTAGAATATTTACATGCTGCATTTGTATGTGCAAGAAACCGACAACAATCATAAAACCAAAAATAAAAAGCACCAAAGCCTAACCCTAACAATTAACATTTACGCATACGATTTAAAAAGATGAAGTATTAAGCAGTACCTATCTTTTCCAGTGTATTTTAACAATGTAAAGTAACTAAACGGTTTGATCTGAAGATGTCAAAAGAGTAAAAAATCCAAATCACAGCAGCAAAACTTCAGATCGATTCCCGTCAATTCCCCTCACAGATCTCAAACTTTGACTTTTGACTTGACATTAACAGTTCTCACTCCAGACAACGAAACAATCACACAAAAGCACTCAAAATCGCTCAGGTCTGAATGAATTCATCATATTTTCCTCACATGCTCACTGCACTAA